GACTCCGGGTAGGGGAGGAGTAAGGGATTGACAGGTAAGGGACTCTCGGGATAGGACAACTGGGGGTAGGTGGGTGGAGTTTGGGAGTTGCTAGGGGAATGGACCAATGGGGGCTGCCTCTGCACTGCACCAAACACTAACCAATGGCAGGCAGAGGAGCGGGAAAACAACAGGTTTAGGCGGGAAAACTGTGAGGGGAAGAAGAGACAATATGGAGGATGATTTTAAAACAACAACTGGGGTATATACAACATGATAATCATATAACAATTAACAGGGAAAAACCGGGGATAAACTGGGGATAACATAGGAAACTGTCCAGTCCAGGGTATGGTCATATCCGGTGAATAAGTGTCCATTTCAGGGTAGTTGTGTCTCAATCAGGGTTATAAACTTGTCTCCACGTTTGGTATTGTTTCCATTCCTCCACACGTTTCCCAACAGTTGTCCTGTTAAGATATCATTCTGGAGAAAAGTTAGGGGTAGGATTTCAAAAATTTGGATTTGATTTTTTTAATGCATTTTCAGTAGTGATCTTGGTAAGTAAGTACAAATTAATTAAAATTGGGTAAAAACCACAAGCAGTATACAGGATGTTTAGAATTACATACTAGCCAGATGAGGAGCAAAATCATAGAGCTGGGATGAAGTTTTAATGGAAAAAAAAGGCAAAACTTTGATTATACACTAGAGACTCAACATCTGAAAATCACAAAGGAAAGAAAAATTCATAAATATTAGAGATTCTGGAATGACTCTGAGCTAGCAGTGTCGTAAAGTTTTGAGAAGGGAAAGTGTATTTTTATCACATATCAACTGTGGCTAGTATAGATATGGAATTTTGTTGACCTGGTTGTATCTCACCTTATGTGTTCGAGTTTGCTGTGGCAACAGTTGTCAGTAGAAAGTGTGTTACGATTAACAAATGGTTTTACAGAAAGCTCTGTCTTTTTAGCAATTAACTGGTGCCTTGCGGACACTTCGATCAAGTGGTCAGGTAGTGACCACTGATATTTCTGACCGCTGAAAAATAAGAACAAATGGCAAGAATCAAGTCCATCCAGAGAATAATTTGTAGGAATTGTGTAAAGAAGGCAAATATGCACGTATACATGAGCTGTGAATTGTAATAGTAAAGTTGAGAAGATACTTTCATACATTGCCTCTAGGTTTGACTTCGTTGTCTCTGTAACTTAGAGAATGTGTGTGTCTTTCCTAAGTTCTTGGTCTATGTTTAGAGACAGAGTAAGGTAAACTCCTATGGGCCAATTTTCGTTTCATTTTTACCTATTCATTTACTGCACCAAAAACCTCTGCCGTAGATTGTATAGCAGTACTTAGTAGCTTATTGGAGCTTTCTGAATCTCTCGTTAGGAAATACTTCGTTGCAATCTTGCTCACATATACATATGTGAATATATATAGAAATTATGTAAGACTTTTCATGAGCATTAGGACATTCAGGAAGTTCCTAATAAAATGAAGTCCCCTGGACATGACTTAGCTTTTTTACCAGTCTGCTTGGTACCAGTGGTAAAAATGGTTGTACCAAGTATAAAAAAGAACCCATATCTCCCAGCTTATGTGGCAGTTACCTATGTTAAGTTCTTTTCATGCCTTCCAAAATTTTGATTCTTTTGGAGTCTCTGCAGTGCAAGCCAATGTGCTATTTCCTGGAGAGCAATAGATAGTTCTGTTATAACCAAATTATTTATCATAGTTTGCCATAGGCTTTTTTTTTCCCTTTTAATACTAAACTCAATACTAATGTACACTTTAATAGCAGGGTTTTTCTGGATTTCCTCAGACTGCATTTAAATGAAAACATGACAATGAATAACCAGTTCTTATAAAATTTCACCAGTTTTTATAACAGATCTGGGCAAAAATTTTACATAAGCATTCAAAAAATGACAGAAAAAAAACAATTGTCACATGTCACCAGCAGTGCAGTTTAAGATACTGAACATTATTTTACAGTTCCCATGGAGAATATAGTAGAGTACAGTCCCTGCTGGATATCAAAATAGTCTTACTGATATTGAAATACTATGTAAGAATGCATCATAAGAACCCTGAGTTACACCCCTTAATAAGTTAATGCCCAGCTGATCCCTCTGACACTATTTATAATTTCAGGTGCCACAAATATAATTATGCACAAAATAAAAACTGCTATAGGCTTTCTACTAAGAAGAGACAGTATTTAAAAATATTGATATTAGAAGTATTGTTTCTGCAGATATTTTTAAAAAGCAAATGGATTAAGTTGTCTCTCCATGAACACTGTTTCAATTCCTTACTCCTTCTTTCTTTATTCTTTCTTTCTATTAAAGCTTTATAAGTCTTTAAATAAATAAAGTAAATGAACACATTTTGTTCAATTGGTTGAGGTGTAATATCTATGGCAGAAATAGTGACT